AAACTCATTTTCCCTCTCCCAGCACCCATTGACCATCTTTAGCTCATACAAGGATGGGGCCATATGGCAAATTCCTGTCCACATTGGCATGCCAGCTGGTGTTGTGATTATTCTGATCTTGTTCGAGAAGCCATATTGTTGAGAATTTATGGGTATATTTTCCTTGTTATCCCTAAGGGAAACTACCTAGCAACAGGCTCCCTGAGCCTTTGGATCTTACAGCCTTTCTGATTCCTCTTTCTTAATTTTTCCTGAGCCTTGGGTATAGGAGTTGCATTGTTGATTTACTAGTTGATGTTGGGTATCCAAAAATCACTACTCTATACTTTGCCCAATTATACATTTGTTCAATAGTTTCCATTTATTATTAAAAGAAGCTTTCTTGGTGAGGAGGGGTGAAAGCTACACTTATCTGTGGGTATAAGTATTTAGCATACAGTAAGAAATTATATTGGTTTAGGAAAATGGAAGTAATAGGTTTTCCTCTCGGATCTATGGCCTCTTCTGCCATGGATAGCTGGCTAGGTTTACAATACCAGACATGAATTCCCTCCTGTTGAGCAGGCCTGAAGTCCAATATACAAGTGCTAGTGTTCCACCACTGAGGACTACACATCACTCCTTTCCCTTGGAAGCTTACATAGGGCCTTCAAATCCTCTGGGACCTAGTCCCTTTTAAGATGGCTTCCTGATCAATCCCAGCTTGATTCCTTCAAGTTCTATATCTAGTGTGTGTGGTATCTTCAGCAGCAGGGTCTTAACTATAAGTTCTGAAAGGCAACCAACGGTAGTGACTATAATCCATGTTGTGTTGGGGGAGAGCATGTATTCTTTGAACCAACAACTGGAAAGGTAGGGAGGTGTTTCATACTTGGCACTGGGGTTTTTGTTCAATAGTGCGCAACGTGGCATAGCTCCATTAAAACACAGCAGTCTCACGGGCGCACACACATGTGCGCACACACACACACACATTTTTAAAATGAAGCTTATAAAATAATATGTAGCCCTATGACTCTTTCAAACATCCTTGCTATTTATCTCCTATTCCTTGTATTACCTTTTCCTCTTCCAAATTAAAGCTCTCCATTTTTGTATTATGTCGTTCAAGTTCGCAGGACCTGCTTCCTACTATCCCTCTTTCTAGAGCTCGTTCTCTCTTCACCACATTCCCCAATCCCTGCCACAGTCCCTTTTTGTTTTCCTGAATGACATATTTGGATATTTCAGTTTATATGCTCTCTATATATCTTTATCTATCTATGTCTATCTATATATATTTAGATTGAAATATATGTATATATTCCAATCTAAAGATTTTGAGCTAGGATCCACCAATAAGAGAAGACATAAGGTGTTTGTCTTTCTGGGTTTGGGTTATCTTACTCGGTATAATAAATTTCAGTTCCACCCATTTACCTGCAAAGTTCATGATTTCATTCAGAAATGTATTGGTCAATAATGGGCTGCAAGCTATTGCTATATCACATTCATAGTTCTATTCGACTCTTCTACAAGGGCAAAGGGCACAGGCACTGTGCATCCAGGAAACAACTACTTTAACCTTGAATTTGTTTCCTCCTCAGAAGTATGTTGCCATATATAAGAACATAACCTGGGAAGACTGATGACTCCTGTGGTTCTGGGAAATGCCGAGAAATGGAATCTGGGAAATGTCGAGGGATGGGTTACGTACCAGGAGTATGCATTACATCAAACTTTCTTCACACAGATTTTTTAGTTGAATCTTTGGGAACACCTACCCATTGAGGCTGAGGTGTTCTTTGCTGGTCTGCCTGTTGGCCGAGGAACTTGCCTGAAATGGCTGCAGTCTTTGGAAGTACTGGAGGAATCTGGCAGGATGAAGTACTCTGTGATGGCATGCTAACAGCAACATGGGCAGTCGAGCTAGGGTTTTTGGTTAGGGACGTGTTTGGAAGAGATCCCTTTGACCCTCTGATGTCTTTCATGATGTAGGCTGTCAGTGCTGTTGGTGCTGGTTGGGGGTGGCGGTGGTGGTGGGGGTGTTGGCTAACTGTGAAACAGTTTGGCTGGTAGTGCTTGTAATAAGAGAAGAATACAGTATTGTTGCAGAGGGAAGAAACTTCATAGAGCCAAGGTCCAAATTTCCATTCCAGAGCTGTCTGCCAGATTGCTTCTTAAACTTGGTCCAGTTTCATTCAGAACTTCAGTGCTTTCCTTCCCTGCAACTCCTTGTTTGATTTGAAGCACCAGCCCTCTTGGCTACTGAGATGCCAACTCCTTCTTCAGAAATATAGTGGTTTTCTTGCAGCCCAGCTTGATTAGCAAAGTATGCAAATTTTCCAAATAACGAACAGACCTTTTAATGTTGAAAGCTTCAAGTTATGTCCTTATAATGCTAATGCCAAAATAAAGAATGTATAGCTTGATTTATATTGTATTAAAGTAAGTCTCTTGAGCAGATAGATATGTCATTAGTACCTTGTTTTTAATCCTGTATTTTGGCAAACTTTTTCAAGTAATAAAGGAAGTTTTCCTTTTCATCAGGGAAGGTAATTACATTCTGTAGGCTGTTAACAATTGCAGAAAGCAAGAAGCTACAAAGAATAGCCACCTGTTAGATACGTATATCCTGGATTTACCTGGTGATTACTTATCGTAGCTTCTTTTATCAGTTTTCTCTGAATATTTTCTTAAAACAGTTGGATTCAAATAAATTATATGTATTTGCATTTATATGAAATCAGGTCCTAACCCTTCTGTGCCTAGAATTCCAGTGCCTCTGATTTCTCACAGATGTGTGTTTTCAGCTGTCCATTAGACATCACCCAGGCGGAATGAAAAGCTTCCTTGCTGCTTCTCTTTCCTCCTAAAGCCCCTGTCTCCATTCAGGGTTTAATGAGCCACCTGTTCTGCAAATGGAACCCTTTCTCAGAAACCCAAGCATTTTCCTTGAGTTTCTCAATTCTATTCATTTTACCTCCAAATTGTTGCCCAATCTGTGTTCCCTCTCTGTATTGTCTCCAGTCCACCTTCCTGCCCTGCTGGCCATCTGTCTTGTCACTTCTCTCTGTCCTACTTCTGCCTATGATTGATGACTTATTGGTTGCATTCTTTAGTACTTCTTGGGGTCACACACAGCCAAACCTTTGCAGAGTAGCTCTCATCTGCTCTGCAGGCTTCTCTGTCTGCCTATTTATTCTGTGGCTTGCATTTCAGTCCCATAAACTTCCCCATTTCCTGAATGAGAGACTGTAGCCAATGGCTCTTCTCCCCTCTCCTTCTACTGTTCGGTCTTATTTTCAGGGATGACTGGCCAGCTCACGGTCTCCTCACCTATATTTATCTTGTAGTCACCTCACCTTTGGAGTTTTCACTGTGTCTCCTCCAGTTATCACTACCTCTGTCCTACTTAGTTACAAAGCCAGGGGTTCCTTCAAACCTCCTCCCTTTCTTAGTGGCTAGCTTGCCAGAGCAGCCCACGGAATGCAGGAAGGCATTTTTCTTATTATCACTGGCTCATTAAGAAGGAAGGGACTTCAGGGAGAACCAAATGAGGAGATATTTAGTGTAGGAGATAGTACAGGTGACACAGAGCCCCCATACCCTCTCTAGGCCTGTCACTCACCGAGCACTGCAGTGCCTCTGGCCCTCTGAGAAGCCTTGAAGCCTGTTTAAGGTTCTTTGTAAAAGGTGTTATTGGGTAGGCATGCTAGACCACGGGCACTTGGTGAATGAACCTGAAGTTCAGCTTCCTTTCTTCCTTGGAGGTCAGAGGTGAGAGAGCCTGAGAAGTCCAACTTTGGAAAGGTGGCTTGGTTTTCCTAATTGTCAGCCTACATCCTAAACCTACCTAGGCTTCTCCAACCTCTCAGTGCCTCCTCAGCATATGAATGAAGTATATTGGTATGGTGATCCCAAGGGATTTTAAGAGCTGTGTTCAAAAAACTAGGAATGAAAACCAAGTTTTTATTTTTTTTATTCTATCACACATCTGCCTTTTTTGTAATTGCCCCCATGTTTGCCGTCAGTCACTCCTGTGAGTGTCCAGAAGGAAGGATCATTTTTCTCTTAGCTTTCATTCAGTGAGTTAATTTTCCCGGGCATATAACCCAGATCCTTTTATACTGGTTCTTGGTAGTACATGGTCATGTCTTGGTGTATGAACTCTTACTGTTGAATTCCAATCTCCCAGTTTATACCCACAAAGACATGAAAGCAGAGATTCAAACAGATAGTTATATGAGACTATTCAGTCATGGTAGCCAAAAGAACCACCAACAATGATTGTATAGCCAGTGGTTATACTCTTGTTGTGTAATGACTAAATCAGGCAACCCTAAATTACTGTTCCATCTGTCTCATATACAAGATCTGATTACTCTGAGTTGCAGCCTCATTAAGTTGTGAACATATTAAATATTATGCATATTAATATATTTAAAATAACATTTTTATTTTGCAAGGGCATGTGAGATTGGGTTCTTTTCAAATTCATTTTGTCAGCATTCACTTAGGTGCTTTGCTTGTATACATTTCTTCCTCTTGTCTGTTTTGGGAACAGGGCCTCACTGTGTTTCAGAGGCTGGCCTAGAACCTGCTACTTGCACTCCTGATTTTCCTGCCTCTACCTGCCCAATGCTGGGATTACAAACATGCATCACCCTACTTTTCCTGAAAGAGACAAGACAATCTGTAAGCATGGCCCTCCTTCCTCCACTGGGGAGAGCTCTTAAGATATAGGAAAATCTGTTTATTTTTAAAAAGTCCCTAAAGGCAGAGAAATATTCAGGATTTCCAATGTTTTAAGATCAAAAGTTAAAGTAATAATGTGCATAATTGATTTAAATTCAGAAAAAATTTTCCATTGCTTTTTCTCTGCAGGGGGATTGTTTTATTTTTAAAATTTTCCTTAAATACTATGTGGTGTTATTATTTTTAAACCCTACATGGGGATAACTATTGTTTCTTGCAGTTTAAAGAAGAAGTATAAATGCTTTTTCTTTTCTTTTTTTCAGATTCTTTACAGAGTTAGAGGCAAGACATCAGAATAACATCCTCATAGACGATATAAGTGACATTGTAGAGAAGCACACGGCGTCCACATTTGATCCCTATGTGAAATACTGCACCAATGAAGTTTACCAACAGAGAACACTGCAGAAGTTGTTGTAAGCAGGGTGGAATGCTCGGGTTTGATTATCTAACCTACTTTTGATTAGAACACATTGATAAAGATTAATTAATAATAGAAACAGACATGCCTCCTAGTAGACTGTTTTCTCCTTGACTGATGTGGAAGAGGGTTACTTTTTGAGTGAGGATGTTGGGTATGCAGAATTTTCTCCCTAAAGCAGTTTGAAATTAAAGTATGCTTAAGTTCTCCTTGCCTTCCCCCCACACCCCTTATAAACCCTTTAGTTGGCCAGAGACTTGACCCATCATCATTCAACCTCCCACTTTCCTAAGCAAGTAACTAGCCATTAAGTGGTTTGCCAGAGGGCAAGAGGCTGTTCTTAAGTGGACCAGAGTGAGACACTAGGATCCAGGGTTTCCCTTACTATTCTAACCTCTGTAAACTGTTTACAGGAATTGCAGGATCCACCTCCCCCTCCCTGGGTAGATTGGCTGAGTTGCTGTGGGAGGGTTTAAAAGAACAGAAGAAAAAGACCAGCTTGGAGATTTTAATTATGCCACAATAAGGAGCCAAGCACTCTGTTTCTCACCACTAGTCTTTCCTTTTTAAGATTATTGAGAGTGTGAATGTGAGGGACAGGAGTCAACAATTGTTGAGTAGTTAATATACTGTTACATTTTTCCGAGGCCCCAGTTGTCAGAAGTTGTAGTTGTCCACCATATACCCAGTTTGAGACTTCCTGGCTATTGTTATTCTCATTCTCTCCTTGGAGTAGTGACATTTATGGAGCCTCTGGTCACTCCAGGCTAGGTGTGAGATCTTTGAAGAGGCTAAGGGGATGGTGATAATGTGTTAGGAGAATGGGGTCCTAGAGACTGAAACGTCAAGATTAGCATATGGAAAACAGCTAGTTGTGAGAGGAAGACTGGAAACATGAGAACAGCTCTTCAGATACAAACTTGAAGCTGTTGTTACAGGAATGTCCTACAAAAGAATCACACTCCTGGGGGCTCAACACTACCCAGCTCACCCACTCCCACTCTTGGGAGCACTTTCCCTCTCTTACTAAGTAGTTTGTATTATTGTTTATAAGCATATATCCCTGGTGGGATCCTTTGCCCTGAGACACAAGAACCTGACATCATGTGCCCTCTGAACTCAGCTCCTTGGCTTAAGCCCTTCTAAGCAAGCATAGCCAGACACCCACTTTTTTGCCTTTCAGTACCCCGTCAACCATCATTGCCAAAGGCATAACTTGTCTTCCTCTTCCCTGTCTCTATCCTCCGGGCACCTGCTGAGATCTCCACTTGCCTATCCTTGGTATTTTGTCTCTCAAACTAACAATTGTCTTTGAACTTTGAATAAAAAAGTCTATTTTAAAATTCTTTTATTAGTGAGGCAAATAACCCAAAGGCAGCCTCAGTGTTCCTGGTGACAGTGATTGCTCCCAGCTTGGTAAGGAGAGCTGATAATGCTGTCTCCTGCCACATCCTCTCGTCATGCCTCATGGATAGGGTGGAAACCCCAGCTGGCATCTTGCAATGAGGCTTTTTATGCACTTTGGGGATTTCAAAGCCTGATAAGTGTGTTGTGGTGACTTCTCAGGGCTTATCGGGTGTTTAGCCCAATACCTGGCTTCTACCCAACTTGATGCCAAAAATGTCTCCAGATTTGTCTGTCCTTTCACTTTCCCTTACTCCACACCAGGCTAGGACCCTGTAGCTGAACATACGGGTCCATGCTTAAAAGCAAAGCCCTGAATTACAGAGGACATTGTTTTCCATTTTGTTTTGCAGGATTTTAAAAAAAATATGTGACTAGTTACTGCTATGTATTATGTGACTCTCAAAAATAGATTTTGTCTAGATTACCTTAATCAAACCATCATGGGAGCTTTCTCATGGAAATTAGTGTTTGTGTCTTTCGGGGCATTCAAGGTTGGGGCAGGAACTTTTCTACTTCAGCAGCATGCTAGAAACCCCAGAAATCCTCAAAGCCCAACCAGCAAAGATTCTCAAGTTCACCCCAGACTTCTTAATCAGAACCCTTTGGACGTGGGAGGAGACTGGGACCTGTGTGATTTAAATGTGCAACCTACATGAAGTTTGTTTTTAATTTCCTAAAAATCTTTTAAAAACTATTAAGGAAAGGATATTTAAAAGTTCTCCAGTGTGAGAAAAAAATAACACATTTCTGTGTAATTCCTCTTAATTTGACATTCTAGGTTTTTCACACTTTATTTTTAGTGGCCTTGACCCACATCATCTAATGAATTTCAAGTCACATTTTTTTAATATAAAATGGTCATTATGGCCACTGCCTTCCTTTCCAGTTCTGAAGAGTCCAGTGGTTCTGCAAGCCTCCTTTTCCATGGGTAGAGGGCTGTGGATGCTGTAGACTTCCACAGGAGCAAAGTGAGGAGAGAAATAAGTGGGACAGGGTCAGAAAAGTTCAATTTGACTTCATTCTATTGCTGTTGCTAAATATGTAACAAGTTAGAGTCTTTGTGAGCATTGTTCTGTTGGCATCTCCATGTCATCCCCCTTTAAGGTTCTAGAGACAGCTCCACTGAGATTCTGTATGGAATATCTGGCAACACTACATGGATATATGCCAGCATCACAGCCATTTGCAACTCAGTGGGAGATGAAGAGAAATATTCTGGCTTATGTGGCGAAGGGTTTCCTGGCTAGACATGTCTGCAATCCTAGGACTTGGGGGGATTGTAAGCTGGAGGGCAGCCTGAAGAGCATCACACTCCAAAAAACTACAACCCCCAAACAATGAAGCAAACACAAATACAAAAGAGTTTTCTTTGTTAGAAAGAGGACCTTTGGAAAGGTCAAGCATCCCTTGAAAATCTTGCCTAAGTGATACCTCGTTCTTGGGTCTGCCCAGAGCCAGAACAGTTGTATGAAGCATGATTATGTTGGTGGAGTGTGTTTGTACATGATTAAGTATGAGATCTGATCAGTTGATGCTAACTCATGATTGACATGTTCTCTGTTACAATACTGTACCCTCTTGTTTACATCCCAGTTTTGCAAACGTCTAGTTTACATGTTTATTTTATTGTTAATATTGTTATAGGGCACCACATCTTATTTTCAGCATTAAATATAAAAGGCAGAAAAGCCACCTGTGTTTCCCAGTGTCTTATGCTTTATGTTGGTTTTATATGCTTAAGAATCTTGTAATGTGGGAATTTACCTCAGTATTTGGTAATTTGTTTTTGTTTGCTTTTAAGCTTGCAAAGAAAATATTTTGAAACTTTTTTTCTGCTTGTCTCTCCACAGAGCCACCAACCCCTCCTTTAAGGAAGTATTGTCACGGATTGAGTCTCATGAAGACTGCAGGAACTTACCCATGATCTCTTTCCTCATTCTCCCCATGCAGAGAGTGACTCGCCTCCCCCTGCTGATGGATGTAAGGCAGGATTTGCTGACTTTGTCCTCTGGATATCAGCTACTACAAATCTGATTAACTAATTTGCTGTTATTCTGCTTAAATTGATGCCTATCTCTTTTATAAACTCCTTAACTGAGAGGATGTTATTCAGTTAGAAAGCCTGTCTGTATTTGAGATCACTGGAGTTTATTGTTAATTTAGATTTGTGTGGTCACTCTGGTGAAACCTGCTTATATTACCCACTTTATTTTGGAATGGGAATGATGATGGCTTTTTGAGGTCAAGAGGCTTGGATTCTCTTTCTGCCTGACCCACTAAGCATGAGACCTTGGACAAGTCACTTTGTTTTAGATCCCTTGCATCTTGAACATTCCAAGATGCTTTGGGCCCAGTTTCTCCTGACATGATAAGGTATAAACTATTCTCTACCATGCATTATGTAAAGTGGGGTAAAAAGCCCAGCATCCTTTTGGTATTAGGTAACAGTCATAGAGGAAGCAAGAGTTTGACTTTGAATAATGGCAAGGCATGCTGAGGGAAGAGGGAGGAGACCATCTGGCCCGTGATGGGGCCTGCTTAGTGGGTAGATAGTGTCTTTTGATCTAATTAGGACAGTTTGTCACAGATGTACTTTAAAATTGGGTCATTATATTGGCATGGTATCAGTTTTTATGTATTTTATTTTATAGACCAAAACACAGGATAAAAATCTACCAGAGATACACAGTTGAGCAAAATTGCAAAAATAGATTCCATTTTCCATATTCCACTATAAAATGCTGAGATACTCTCAAACAAAAGTGAAAGTGTGAAGTGTAGCAAAGTGTATATGACTGTCACTTCCTTACTCTGTCACAGTTGTGTGACAGCTTTATCGATTATTTCAGAATTCTAATTCATAAACCCTTCCTTTGTGCACTCTTAGTCACCTAAGTCTGCTGTGTTTACCCACTCCTTGTCACCCATCACCTATAATTTAGGAAATTATTTCCTGCATGAACATAGTCACAGCTGGTTAACATTCTGAGAAATGCATGGCTAGCAATGCCAGTACCATGCAGTATCAATGAATTTAATTAGTAGTATCTATTAATACATTCTCAGCATCCCTAGGAGAAGCAATCTTCTAAATCTTGTATGTGGTTCATTATTGTCCCATCCAGTAACTTGGAGTTTCAAAAAGTCTGATTGATTTCTTTTAGATCAGGATTTATCCTATCTAAAGATAGAATGCATTAATAATTAATTAACCATTTGGAGACCAGAATGGTAGTCCTATTTGTAATACACCAGACTGTACTATGTTGGATATTTATGGCATGATTACATAATGGTCTCTATGCTTTTGTGTCATAATCCTGTTTGAGATTCTGAGTGAAGCTGTAGTCTTTCTTTTCAGATAATTAATGTTTGCACACAATTTTATGTGCATTTTTATCATAAAGATTTGAGTGAAGGATGTCTGCCCTCATGGAAATAACCCAATATTTTTCATATTGCTTTTATATCCATTAAGGGGGGCATAATTGATTTTTGGAATCATGAGCAGTGTTTTAAAAGTGCAACAGAACAAAATATGAAGTATTTGATATATACATGGCTTATAATGTGGTTAAATATTGTTTCTAAAAACCTTGCCCCTGTAGTATAAATGTGTTCTTTATAATGGGTCAAAAATCTGAAAGGAAGAATACTTAATATAAACCCACATATGACATGCTCTATACTTCTCTCATATAGCAGTCCCACTGCCAGACTTCTAGATTTACAGAGTACATTCATTAGTAGTTAAGGCACTAGGCCTGCTAGTTATTAACCATATTCTGCCCTGCCTGATGACTTGCCCTCATCTGTTTCCCATATGTGAGAACCTAGGCAGAATCAACCATTGTCTCTTAAATTTCACTTCATTTGGAAATTCACTGAAATCTGTTGAAGCAGATGGACATTTTAAAACAATTAAATTCATTCCTAGAGCTTTCAAAGTTATGTGTACAAGCTGAGTGTTCCTTACTAAGAATGCTCAGTGAGATGTGTTTTACATTTTCAATAATTTTGGAATATTTTTATTTGTATAATGAGGTGTTGTGGGAATGGCGCCCAAGACTAAACATGAAATTCATCTGTGTTTCAAGCATCCCTTGTATACATATTCTAAAGACAGTTATATGTACCTAATAATGATGTGCATGAAACAGTGTCTTGATGTAGGGTTTTCCATTTGCAGTGTTCTGACAGTCAAAAAGTTTTGCATTTTTAAAGATTTATGATTTCAGACTTTCATATTTCAGACAATCATATTTAAGGTTATCTTTATTTGGTCATCAGAGTTAGTACCCTTGTTGGGAGATGACTGTATGCCAGGCACTTAGATAAAATGTATAGATTACAACATTTAACTCTTGAAACAGGGCTGGGAGGCAGCTCTGGAGAGCACTTGTTCAGCATGGGTAAGGCCATGTTGGATCCCTGCACAAGAAACAAAATGAGGCAAAGCACCCGTCTCTTGGAAAAGCCTGTGTTGTATCTGACATTGCTGCAGTTTTACAGAGGAGGAAAATGGCATTTGTCTATGACCAGTCACTTGCCCACAGTTAAATAGCTAGCATAAGACAGGTCTGAGATTTGCCAGCCTATTTACTGACCTCTGACATCTCTCTCATTTAGCTGAATTAATTTAGGCTTTGTGTATTTAAAGAGTATTTTCTAGTTCTGTTAGTTGTGTTTTGGTATCTTCATCTCTAATATTGTGTCCAAGAATAGCACTTTTATGAGTAAGAGAAAATGGCTGAATAGTAATTTATTTTGCTTCATATGACAAACCAGTTGGTTTTGCCTCTTTTACTTCTTCTTAGACTATATGTCAAAAAACACCTAAGGACTCTCCGAAGTATGAAGTCTGCAAAAGGGCCTTGAAGGAAGTGAGCAAGGTAACTGTTTACCATGATAACAGTAAACCATGTAGAAAGTTTGGAAGAGTTTAGCACATCTATGCCTGCTAAAAACACCGAGATTCACATAGCCATATTCAAATAAATTGGTATGTTGACTGTTTCAGACAGGTTTTGTGTTATGTGCCCATCCATATCTCATTTTGTCTAGTGTGTTAGTAGCTGTTTGTTGATTCTCACCTTCAACAAATATTTATCGAATATAAACCACTATACCAGGAATCATGATGGCATCTGAATATTTGATGACAAGGCAGGTGTGGTTATTGCATTCATGGTATGTGCAGATTAAAGAGAAGGACATACATTAAATAGAATTACACAAAGGGTGGTGAGTGATATGGGAGAGAAGTATGGAGTGTTGTTTAAACTGAGATCTACTGCAAGAATAACTGTGACCCAGGGAGCGGAAGGACTGTCTTGGGTGTGTAGGGACCCAAATCCATAATGTTGGAGAGTTTGAAGAACTCATTGAAAGAGGGAAAGAGAGGGAGAAAGAAAGAAAGAAAGAAAGAAAGAAAGAAAGAAAGAAAGAAAGAAAGAAAAAGAAAGAAAGGGAATGAGGGGGGGAGGGAGGACATAGGTGGAGCCTGTTGCACATGTTAGAGAGTTGGGAGCTATAGTCTAAGATGATGATAAAGCTATGAATTCATGTAAGAAGATGGAAAGGTGTGTGTGTATGTGTGTGTATGTATGTAAATGTGTATGTACAGTGGGCTTGGAACTGGTGAGCACTTTGAAGGACAGATGTCAAGGAAATATAATCTTTTATTAGACAACTGAATCATTTTCTCATTTTATTACGATGGAAATATGAATTCCATTCTTGACATGTAATGCAGATCCTATAAAACTTGTGTTCTGGATCAGAGTTCAAAGGAAAGAAACAAATTGGAGACCTGGATTCGGGAACCATCAGCATAGGTGATATTTGCTGTTGGAGTGTGAAGGGTTTTTACCTGGGGATGAGGATGCAGAATAATAAATACATCAGCCTTTGGTATAAAAAAAAAAAAGCAAGCCAGGGAACAACAATATTTACTCCTGTTTGGAAGAAAGTAACCAGCACAGGAGACATAAAAACAAATAAGACATGCCAGAGTAAAGGAAAACAGAACTGCCTAGAAAATAACTAAACAGCTCATGGATGCCCCTGAGAGAGAAAGAGGCAAGTCTGACTTAGCTCTTTACAGGGTTCATCCTCAGGTAGATGACACAGAAACCACATTGAAATATGTTGAGCAATGGGTGGGGTGTGCAATGGTGCTATCAGCTGCCCCTGGTGGAGTCAGGCCTGGAGTAGCAAGGGAAAGAGTTGCGGCTGACAGGGAACTAATATTTGAAGATAGAAAAGTGTATGTTTAGCTGCTGTTAGGCACATGGTAGCTGAGAAAGCAAAAGAAAGTATTGTCACCCTGTGGGTAGCATATGAACAGGACATAGCTGAGTGGAGACTGAGTGTGCCAGAAACTTCCTACTTATCTCCTGCTGCTTGCTTCCTGCAGGAATGGGAAAGATCTTCATTCCACTTTGTTGTAGTTGGATGTTTTTCTCTGTTTTGTCTGGTTCTGCTGGACCAGTTTCTCTCCCACTCTGGGTCCCCGCAACCGCTTATGAAATAACACTCTGATGTTTAATGTTAAATATAATTGTTTGGCCAATGGCTCAGAGTTTTTACTGGCTAGCTCTCTCTTATAAATTAACCCATTTCTTTTAATCTTTGTACTACAACAAGGCTGTGGCTTACCAGTGATGCTCCAGCATTTTACTCCTTCAGTAGCTACATGGTCCTCTGACTCCACCTTCCTTCTCTCTATAACTTTGCTTGGATTTTCCACCTAGCTATATTTTTTCCTGGCCATTGGCTGAAACAGCTTTATTCATCAACCAATAAAAGCAACACATAATTGCAGCATACAAAAGGACATTCCATATCAGTTTATTATAATGTACTATTTCTTTTTATCATCTTTAAATAGAGACATTGTTTTAATTATTTATGAAAGACAGTTTGCAAAGTGTAGGGTTTGCTCAGTGACCCAAATATATACTAAGTATTCATCAAAGGCCTAGGAATCCATTTCTTTGCAGATAATCGAGTATTTCTATTTAAACAGAGCTTCTCTTATCTGGGTGTTCTTGAAGAACTACCAAGACTTCCCTCTTCCAGCATCCCTTTGTGACCCCATGCTCTATATGTAACACTGTGCTTAGATTTTGTCTTTGAAATTGGTAGTCTGTTTCCTGCTGCTCTGGTCTGGAAGAGAGGAGGCTCTGTAGCTTGCCCTGAATAAGTGTGGGGCTCTCATAGGTAAAGATGAAGCTGGGCAGAGGGCAGGATCAGAATAGATGGAGACCTAGGAGAGATCTGAAATTGAAAATGAGGTTCTTGGGGAGAGCGGGCCATATGAGGTTAAGTGAAGGGAATTTCCTCTTCATATTTCTTAACCCTCCTATGCTGTTTTCGCAGTTGGTTCGACTGTGCAATGAAGGAGCACGGAAGATGGAAAGGACGGAGATGATGTACACGATTAATTCCCAGCTGGAATTTAAAATTAAGGTAGCCTGCTGTCTATGTTTATTGTATTGCTGTTGCTTAAATCTTATCTAAACAGACAAAGATAAGGCTAGCAAAGTAAATTGCAATTAGCTTTTCAAAGAAGGCCTATCAATTGAAAATAATAGCTGACAGAAGACTTCCCAGATGCCTAAGGGAGTCTCCCAGCTTCTCTCCAGGCCATCATGGTATGACCTTCCCCAGGAAACCATCAAACAGTTCAAATAGTTGAAGCCAATAGTTGATAAAGGGGAATCCTAAAGCACTGTCAGTAGGTGCTGCCAAATAATGGTATCCCCTGGGCTGGACCAGGATGTTCTAAACCAAGTAAGATTACTACTTTGCTTTTGCAGAAAAAGATAGTTAATGGATCTTTTTTTTTTCAAGCTTGTTTTCTCATGTAACTCTTTTTTGGACCTATGCCACCTGTTACTACTTGTCTGATACTGCTCGTGAGTAGGTATCGGGATGCACAGACAAGCAAAAAGTATGGTTGGTTAAGATAGTATCTGTGGTGTAATGAAAATCTTAAAGCATACAACAAATCTAGAAGTTTCTAAAGGGAAAACAATGCTGAGTTCATTAGGTGAAAATTTATAAATCTTTTGCTATACAAGAACAACACAGACAAAGAAATAGAGGCGGTTTGCAGAAGGAGAAGAAGTAGCCTTGCTCATATAGTATTCTTACCATACCTTGAATGTAAAATCAGAGTGACAAGGAAAGGAGAGGGGACAGACACTGGAAATGACAAGTTAGGAAGCTGCTGTCAGAGCCAAATGGCAAGTGGCCATTTTTGAAAAAATGACTTTATTCCGTTCATAAAGAAATTGCTGATGGGCATCAGGGCAGCAAGCAATGCAGAAATGTGAGAAGACATTCTATTTGTGAGGTTATAGGAATGGCATTTTGCAGGCTGCTGGTAACAAGGATTGTCACAGTCCTGGAACTTACTTTCATATTTACAAAGCAATTATTGTAAACCAGCGATTCTGCTTCCAGGAGTTTGTTCTATACAGGTGAATGTAAAGATCACATAGTTATGCTTCTCACATAACCACATGGTGTTTATTTTAGCAGTGAATCAGAAACAATTCAGATATTTATCATAGAGGACTGACTACATCAATATGAAGCAGAGTAGAGCCACTCAACTCTGGGGGAAACAAAGGATGATTGAGGGTTTAGGTACCTATGAAAGTAGTCATATGTGTCATTAAATTTTTTTTAAAAAAACCGTTTTTTTAAAAAACAGTGTTTTTGCCAAAGAAATTTCTGGAGAGCACAGAAGGATTTAGCATCTGCCGTTAACCCGAAGAGGCAGGAGTCAGTGTGAGGGAATGGGGTGAGTGAGAAAGTGGGTAGAGAAGACTTTTCACACAATACTTAACATCACGTTTTTGTTTTCAAATGCAGCATAGACATTCGGAAAGCTACTCTCAATTTGGGGTGAATAAGTGAAAGATTGCTATTTCCTAGTGGAATACAAATTCTCTGAAAATCAATTTCCTTTAAAACGACAATGCAATGAAAAGAATGGCCGTAGGGTGGCGTATATGGTGGGACACCATCAGGACTGTCCTTGGTTCAGACCCAGGGCCAACATGCAGTGTCAGGACAGCCTTGCACTTCTAGCACTTGCAGCAATCAGGACTTAACCTGACACATGTGTGTTTTTGTTGCAATCCCTAAGCACACTGGTCAGAGTTATCATAAGCAATCCTTTCTCTGTTGACCTTACAGGGCTCTGCTGTCCCTGTTACATAACTGTGTGACTCAAATTTAAGGGACTGGAAACCCCAGGACCTCCCTTTCAAGGCAGTTTGCAAAGCTTGGGTTTAGCCATAAGCTTTCATCTTCCTTGTTGAATTAGTATATAGCTGATGAACAACCTTCTTATAAAAGCCCTTTATAAAGTTGGAAAACTCTGAAACCCTTTCTCTGCTTCTTCATTTCCTCTTTAATATCCTCAATTTCCTTTAGCCACTTTTAATCATTCTTCACTTAACAGGATGACATCTGCTGGGTCCTGTTACTGTGCCTGTGTTGTATGTATGTCTAGGAACTTTTGCTTATTTTATGGATATATGTTTTTAAATCAATTTTTTGGCAGTATGCATTCCTAGTAACTTAATTTTTTTTAAAAAAGGAAAGGACTCTAAAGGGTGCAAATTATTCTGTGGTTTTGAGAGGTTTCCAATTGGTTTACATAAAACTGAATAAAGTAAAAGCAGAATGTAATTCCTTAGATGCAGCCTTTTTTGTGAGATTGAGGGGTTCCTTAGAAGAACTCCATTTTCAGTGCCAGAAAGTGGAATGAGGTTTTCAGGGATGTGTTTACACAGTGGAAATGCCATAAACTTAAAAACAGGTGCTCTCAAGAATATGGCTGAATAGATATCTGTAGACAAAACATAAGTTTTGTGGGGTTTTTCTTCTTGAAAATTCCTTTGGTACTACATAAAGTGAACACAGACTTTTAGATGTCTCTTGGTAACTAGAGGTATTTACAGATTTCCATATGTTTATATTCTACTTTAAGATATTTATAATAACTGATAGATTTTGCTACTAGGTTTTTTGAATTCTAAGTGACTCCAGTTTTTGTTTGTAGTTCAGAGTTAATAGAAGAGTCATACTTTTGTGACCCAATATAATAACATTTCCTTGTGGTTTCACTTTTGTATGGACAAGCTATAAATTTTTATGTTGAAAAATAAATGTGTATTTTCTCCATATCCAATTGCATTTCACCACTATCTCCCTATAGAATATTGATGCATCTCATCAGATGTGCCATTTGATTATAATGTCTTTTTGGGCTTCTGTTGGATGTGGGCACTGAGTTTTTCTCTCTTTATAGCCTTTTCCCCTCGTCTCCTCTTCCCGGTGGTTGGTGAAAAGAGGGGAGTTGACAGCCTACGTGGAAGACACGGTGCTGTTCTCAAAGAGGATGTCCAGACAGCAAGTCTACTTCTTTCTCTTCAATGATGTGCTTATTATTACTAAGAAGAAGAGGTGAGCCTGTCAAGTGTTTCTTTCGAAAGCCTAAGTGGAAGATGCGTAACTCCTAAGTGTTGAGTCAAAGTCTCATATGTCCTTCACTGTCTCTAAGTACAAGTATAGTTAAGACTTGCATCATTATGGACCTTGTAGTCAGAGCCACCCTCTATGGAGGGTTGACAGAGTACAAGCCAGTGCTCTGGGCATCTGACATATCCACATCACTCAGTTCTTCTGCCGTGCCAGGGGAGGCCGCGCTCTTTCCTACAGCATTTTTCATACTTCTTTTCTCATAGGACATTTGGATAAATAATTAAGGACTTTCTAGGGACAACTCTGGTATGTCCTGTGACTTAATTTAAATGATGACCTCAATGACTGTTCACTTAAGAAGTGCGCCCATGAATGGCAAGGTGTTGAGTGTGCTTCCTTCCTCGGGGAATGAAGTGCCTCAGTTGACTGGCAAGTGATTTTTCTCTTTCTGCTTTTCTGCTCTATGTTCATGCCCTTCCTTGAGGAAATGACCAGGAGGAATACCATACAAGCCTCATATTTATAGTTTTGTTATCTCAAACAGTTCCCATTTTCAGGACACAAAAATGCACGCGCGCGTGCGCACACACACACACACACACACACACACACACACACACACTCCTTATCTCTGCCTTTCTCCAGGGAATATTCTCTGTCACATGTATTACATGATGACATTGTTCATAGATGGCCATGTTTCCTATTGGCATAAGATACATTTTGCATCTTTGTTAGACGATGGACTGGAAATAAAAATGGAAAACTTCCTCCATGTATGAAGGAAATGAGATGAACTGACAGTATATGATAGAATGGTTAGTTTAGAAAGTACAATTTCAGCAGTAGAAATGACTTTACATGAAAATATTAATAAATGTCCAGATTAATCATGAGTGATTTATTCTAATATTAGTTCTAATTTGCTGACTTTATAGACTGATAAGTCAAAATAAAACAAAACAGATATTGAGCTTCTGTATTATGAATTTTTCAGATGTATACTGTCTTAGGATTTCTGTTGCTGTGAAGAGACACCATGACTCTAGCAACTCATACAAAGGAAAACATTTAATTGAGATGGAAGCTTTCATTTCAGAGGTTCAGTCCATTATAATCATGGCAAGGAGCATGGCGTCATGCAGGCAGACATGGTGCTGGTGAAGTAGCTGAGAGTCCTACATCTTGCTGGCTACAGGAAATGGTGTGTGTCTCACTAGGTGATATCTTGAGCGTATATGAGACCTCAAAGCCAGCCCCCACAGTGACACACCTCCTCCTCCAACAAGGCAATACCCACTCCAACAAATCCATACCTCCCAATAGTGCCACTACCTATGAGCTTATGGGGGCCAATTACATTCAAACTACCACATATACCTAGGACAATAGAACAGTAACTACCCCCAAAAGCAACTCTAGGAGGAAAGGGTTTATTTTAATCCCACATTTCCATGTGATTGTTCAGCACAGAGAGAAGTCAGGGCAGGAACCCTGAGACAGGAATTGATGCAGAGGTGAGTGCTACTTACTGGCTAGCCCAAGGCTTACTTATACCATCCAGTACTGCCTGCTCTGGAATGGTACTGCCCGCTATATGATGGACCCACCAACATCAAACATTAATCAAGAAAATGCCCCACAGGCTTACCTACGGGCCATTTGGACAGAGGCATTTTCTTAGTAGAGGTTCCCACTTCCCAAAAGCCTAGCCAGTACAGCATGTTTTCTTGACTTTCATAGAGATTTTTTTCTCAGAGTTGTTGAGTTTTAGACAGTTTTCTTTTTTTCTTCTTTTCTTTTTTTGTTTTTTTTTTCTTCTTTTTTCCCGAGACAGGGTTTCTCTGTGGCTTTGGAGGCTGTCCTGGAACTAGCTCTTGTAGACTAGGGTGGTCTCGAACTGACAGAGATCCGCCTGCTTCTGCCCCCCTAGTGCTGGGATTAAAGGCGTACTCCACCAATGCCCGGCTCTGCCTTGGATTCTTTAATGCTGGGATTACACTGTGTACCACTGTGCTTGGCATTCGACATGAAGTAAGTTTTAGGGAGCATCACTATGTGCTTCCCTTCAAGTATCAGAAGTCTTTTTTTTAAGATTTTATTTATTTATTATGTATACAACATTCTGCTTCTTGTATATCTGAGAAGAGGGACCCAGATCTCATAATGGATGGTTGTGAGCCACCATGTGGTTGCTTGGAATTGAACTCAGGCCCTCTGGAAGAGCAGTCAGTGCTCTTAACCTCTGATCATCTCTCCAGCCCGTATCAGAACTCTTATTTCTAACATCTTCCAGCTGTCTTAGTAAAACCAAAGTTTTAACTCACCTTTTGAGTTGAATGATAAAGGTTGAACACACCATGCCAATTTTAAATATTAGACTTGTTTTGACTGTTGACTGATAAACTGATGAACGTTACCGTCTTTACAGGTAGTTCTAAAACCAGGATATGCAGCCTTTATTCTTGAACTTGCACAGAAGTAGTCAATAGGTAGAGAATTAAGACAGATGTTTTCTTACTCAGCAACTGATTTTGCTCCTCACAGGTGGCTTTGCCATTATATTTCATGTCGATCCAGTTACGCCAAATTCATGTGCTCAAGTATTTTTTTGAAATTTTAATCTGAATGACAGAAAGAGCATGGCATATATTCCCAGTGGAGAGGCCAGCCTGGGTACATAATTAACCTTTGTCAAAACTGGTATTTTTCTTGCCCTGTAAATAACTTTATCCTATGTCTAAAGTCCTCTCAACTGAGGAAATAGCATTGGAGACTGCTTGTTCATGACGTGAATCTGTGGGGAAAAGGCTTGATAAACAGGCTGGGTTTGAAATGTACAGTATGTGCTGCTGTATTTACACAGTAGCTTCAAGGAGGCAACTGCAGATGCTTTGCATGCCAGAGGGAGCAGCGAAGGAGATATAGCTGCTTTGAGTCGGGCAATAATTCAGACATGTCTACAAGGGAGAGATAAGGGATCATTATCTGTGCCAGCTCTCTAGGGCTGACCCAAACACCCACGGATTGATTGAAATTTAAGGTTTAGGCAAGGAGCTTAGCTTATGGGACTCAAGTAGTTTTTAACATAGGGAGGTTTTCTTTCTACTTACTGAGAGTGGCTCCACAGGAGGACCGTTATTTTTCCTCCTCCACTTCAGACTGGCAGATAGAGTATACTACACACATTTCCTAGCTCGCTGAATGTGTGGCCCTTCAGCATCTTGTTGGTGTTTGCAGAGTACGACTTGGTGGTTAACCCCATAGGGTTGTCTTCAAAGACAATGTTATTTTCTTTTTCTTTAATTTTTCACCTTTTTTTAGGTTAGAAGAAAACATAAACATTTTTATCAGGTCTGGGTTGCTTCTACCAAATTTCAAAGGGATACACTTAATTTGACTACTTGTGATGAGAAAGTGTTTACCAAAGAATTCACAAGAAGCTGTGACTGGATGCCCCCTGGATCCACTAGATCCCAACCTCAGCAGTGTTGACATGGGGCCTGTGATTCTTTGCTGTGGTTGGTCCTGTAACATAGTTTTAAGCAGTATCGCTGGTCTCTATCCACTGGTGCAAGTCAGTGCACGGCTTGACACCGCAGGAATAGTAACACTGTATATAAACATGATACGCTACCAGACAGTAATAGATTAATATGCACGAACATATAGTAACTGATATGTGCCAATAATAACACAATAAGCTGCCTCTTCGCTCTGCCCACATATGCAGTCGTATGGAGTTAAGTACAAATGGTCCTATTTTTGAAATGTATAAACTGAATCTGAGACCTTAGTTGGTTAAAACTCCCAAAGTTTGAGAGGCAGTTTGCTATCTTATTTTCATTTAGTGCCTTGTATATGCCTGGTCTTTTGTCTTAATTCTATCTGAAGATGAGAGCAGATGCTCTGTCCCTGGATTGGTCTCCTTCTAGCTGCTGTATTATAGTACTATGCAGTGACTGGCTCCTTCCACCTACCAATGGCTTCAAACATTCTTTGCAGTCTGCCTGTGTTTCCATATGACCTGCCTCTGCCATGCCTCTGTGTGTCTCTGAGTCCCCCACCGTCTCACCACTCAGTTATTGGATGCAGAGCCTATTTCAATCTAGTATGACTTGGTTAATCTGCAAAGGCTTTATCTGTAAGTAAGGCAACGTTCAAAGTGTCAGGAGTTAGGACTCCATCCTTTTTCTCTGCAGCATACAGTCCGACCTACTACACTCCTGACCCCTCACCACCATCTCACTTAAACATAGTTGAGAAACGTGCAGTGATGGCCTAAGGTAGTTCGGGGCCACGTGTTTCTTTTACACCAGATCACTCCATTTTTGAAAACAGTTTTCAGAATGTTGTCATGGTCATGTGACTTGAACTCCTTTGTTTAGTGGTTTCACAGATTACTCTCATATTCACATCTTCTCTGTCAAACCTTGCCTTCTCCTGAGTCCATTCCCTTCTTAGTAAACGGTCCTCTGTCCTCTGGGTGCTGCGGTAACCCTCAAAGATGACCTTCCTGTCTGTGTTTGCTGGGCTCCCCTAAGCAGTTCGCCACAAACCTTCTATGCAGCTGGTGAAATGCCTTCTCTTTCACATACACCGCCCGTATGCCAACCCTTTCCACTTCTTCCAATAAGACAAACCCAACTGGCACCAGAAACTTCCCCTCCTTTCTCCTTACCTTCCACATTCAGAATATGTTTTAAAAGATGAATCTACTTAGTTTAGCCCTTTGCAAAACTTACCCTCCATTTTATCTTGCTTTCAGCACAAATGCCTTGCAAGTGTGTCCATGCATGTCTCTTTCTCCTCTTCCTGCATTTGTGCCTTTTAACCCAATGTTAGATGCCAGGCCTAGAACAGATTTCTCTCTCTACCTGGAAAGTGTTGCCTCTGCTCTGCCCTCACTTCACTTCACACCTTTTCTAGGCAATGTTCTCATCTTTTAGGTTTACATTAATTTCCACACGACCACTAGGGGT